GGTAAGAAAGGGAGGGGAAGGGAGGCGAGCATCACCTTCAAAAAATATATATATATACACACATATATAGGCTTGCAATGGGGTCTGCTGACCCCCTCCTCTGGCAAGGCTGGCTGTGGTGCAGGGTGAGCGTGTGCACAGTTGTAGGATCCAACCCAGCTCCAGGCTCTGAACCAGCTGCTGGAGGTGGAGAAACCTGGGTGAGGCTGACCTGGTTCTCCGATGGGTGGTATCAGAGGCTGCTGCAGCACTTGGGGAAATATTGGGGCTTTTTAGGTCTTTAGATGGGTGGTTGCAAATGCTGGGTGCCTGAAATGCTCCTGGGAGCTGCTGTCTGAATCTTGTTCTCTGCCTTTGACTAGTTCAGGCAGGATACGGCTGGCTGCGATTGTGCAGCTTCTCTCCTTCCTTGAGGGAACGTTCCAAGTGTGGGCTGAGGGCTCAGGGGGCTGTAGGCTCGGGGGTCTGCGAGCCATCCTGGAGCTCTGCTGGTCCTGGGGGATGCTCCCACCCGGCACTGGCACCCTCAGCCATGTCACTGCTGCAATTCCAGGAGTGAGAGCCATGCGGTCACGGATGCTCATGGAGCAGAGGGGCAAAGGGGCGATGCGTTGGATATCTGCTGGGTTTGGGAACCACCCAGAAAAATCATCATGCCTGCAGAGCCCATTAGCATGTAATTAATGCCAGGCCCGAGGAGCCATGTGTGGTCGCACCCTTTGCTACCTGTGCAGGTTTGCCTCCGGGTTAATGCCACAGATGTCCTTGTGCAGGGTCCGCAGCTGTGCCCCGATGCGGTTTTTGGTCCAGGCAACAATATCCCCTCTGTGCTTTGCAGAAAGCAGCGTGCGAGCGTTGTCCATCATTTGGGAACATGACCCCCCAAGGGTAATTAGTTGACACTGATGAGGACCTCCTGCCTTCCTGGCTCCCTGGGGCCATCCCTGCCCGTGCTGCCCATCCAGGCACCGCTCGGCTGCCTGGAGCAACGGGCAGCATTGCTGCCTGTTGTGTTTATTGCAGGGTGTAGAAAAGCCCTTCCCGTTGGTTCCTACCGGGTTACAGGCCAATTTTATTAAACGCTGCCATGAGAAACTGCCAGGTTCCCTCCTCTAAACATCTCCGGAGCCCAACCTTAGAGATAATTGTCTCCCACATTAGTTTTCATTAAATTAAATGCGGGAGGAGGATCTGAACAATCAGGGGCTCCGGTCTGAGCACTGCATGTACTTGCTGGCACGATGAGTGCAGCCCGTGGAGTCGGATTTTGCTCCGGGAGCAGTTCAGGGGAAGGTAGTGTGGAGCGGTGGAGCTGGGACAGCACACCGTGCATCATCCCCAGGGCAGGCTGGGGGCCAGATCCTGCGCCAGCAGCTGCAGAGCCCTCCTCTGGGCAGCCAGGCACCACCAGGTCTTCATCTCGGTCTCCAGCCACCCTGTTCTCGCATGTTCTGCTTCCCCTGGCTGCTGTTCATTAAAAGTTAATGCCTGGTTCTTGGTCCGTGCTGAGGTAATGCTATTCATCTGCTGACAAGCCTTTATGATTTATTTATGCCAACCCAGATGTGCCTCTATGACCCATTGTCCTGGTCTCAGATCCACCTCCCTCAGCTGGGCTAATTCCAGCAGGTCACACTGGAGGAACAAGTAGGTGAACCACGTGTAGCGTGCTTGGGAAGACCAGCAGGACACCACACACATGTGCACGGCTGTCTGTGGTAGGGGGGCTGCTCTGCAGGAGCTGACTGGTTCACGGACCTCGTACCTGCATGATGATGGACCAACCTGAGCATCCGTCCCAGGTGCCAAGCTGGGAGCACTGCTCTGCCCCCCCTGAGTTCCCCTCCTGGACCTCAGAGGAGCTTACCCAGCACAAGGATCAGCTGCTCCTTCCAGCAACACATGAATACTGCTTCCCCCCTCACCGCAGGCGAGATCAGCTGTGCCCTGAGCAAACCAGGGACGTGGTCTTGCATGCTTGCCTATGGTCCCCTCATCTCAAGTGGCTTCCTGATGCCTCTTGTGACCTGCTGAAGCCTCATTCCCCTGCTGACTATCCCATGTCTTACTGCTTCTGCCATTTTTCAAAATTGCCTTTGTTCTGCCTCTGTCCATCTCTCCCCATACTCATGCTTTGTCTCTGCTCAGTCTTGGAGACAGCAGGACTCCAGCTTCACTTAGTTTCTCCTCTTCTACTGCCTGTCCTAATAGAGACGTCTTTGTTGAGAGGTAAAGGCATCTGAAGGGACTTCGGCTCTTTCCACGTAGACCATCTTCACAGATTCCCACATCTACTAGAAGCGTGTGAGGTGTTTCATTTCTCCACGCCCCCTCTCCACCGCAGCCACTCTTCTACCACGCTTCCTTAGCGAAACCTCTCTGCTCAGGAATGTTAACACAGCCGCTGGCTGCCCTACATGGTTTCCTCCCGAAGATGGGTAATGACCCAAAGCTGGAAGGGTGAGGG